GAGACGGACACGCCTCCGCCTGGCGGTGCTGTTCCGCCTGGTCTGGTTGGTGTAGCAGGGCTTGTAGTGGTAGGAGTCAGGATAGGCACACCTCCGCCTGGTGGTGCTGTTCCGCCTGGTCTGGTTGGTGTGGCAGAGATTGTCGCGCTAGTAGGAGTTGAGACGGACACGCCTCCCCCAACAGTACCAGTAATGTTAGAGATTCCAGGGCCTGTAGGTATGGCAGGGGTCAAGGTCACACTCGGCAACCCAGTTGGTCCACCCCCGGCAGTGCGTGTGACGTTTGCGAAACTGGTTCCTGTAGTCTCAGCGAGCCTGGAAGTTTGAACAGCACCCGATGTTGCGGCTCCACCACCGTTAGTAGGCAGGAGAACAGTTGAAACAATGGTTTCTGTAGTTGTAGCTACAACGTGGGTTGAAGTGGTGTTGGGGAATCCAATTGGGCCTCCTCCAGGACCGTGCGGGATGTTAGGAACCCCGATAGCTGAAGTCACCGGCAGACTTGTTGCAGGTCCTGCGGCTGCGCCTCCACCTCCAGGACTTTGCGGTACACCGGGAACCCCAGTAGCCGAAGTCGCTGGCTGAGTAGTTGCAGGTCCTGCGGCTGCGCCTCCGCCTCCGGGACTTTGCGGTACACCGGGAACCCCAGTAGCCGAAGTCGCTGGCTGAGTTGAAGGTCCCGCAGTTGCGCCTGCGGCTCCGCCAGGAGCCTGAGGGGCACTTGAAATGTGTGTTCCTGTCGCGGTTGGACCTTGTGGAGCGCCTGGGCCTGCGGCTGTCGGAGCTAGGGCGCCAGGACCCGTTGCAGTGAATGGAGGTGAAATGGCGGGAACACCTGGAGATGCGGTGGGGCCACCCGCTCCTTGAGGAATCTGAGAACCAGGGCAAACTGTCTCAGTAACGGTGACGGTGAATGTAGCAGTACTCGTGCCAGGAGCAGGACAGGGTGCGCAGGTTGGTGCGGCAGGAGCGGGACATGGTGGACAGGCTTGCGTCACGACCATAGGCGCACATGGAGACTCGAATGGAGGCGCGGAGACTGTGACAGGGGTTGATGCACTGGCAGGCACACCACCCCCAGCAGGAGAGAATCCCGGCCCCTCAGAGGCAGGGACCCCTCCACCGGTTGGGGGAGACAACGGGGGGGGAATTGAAGCAATTCCTCCGGCCGGGGAGGTACCTGGGCGCGACTCAATAGCAGCTCCTCCCGTTGGTGCTGTAGTTGGGGGTGGCTGAGTAGCTCCTCCAGTTGGTGCTGTAGTTGGGAGTGATTCAGTAGCAGCCCCTCCCGTTGGTGCTGTGGTTACAGGTGACCGAGTAGCACCTCCAGGTAGCGCTGTTGTTGGAAGAGATTCAGTAGCAGCTCCTCCAGTCGGTGCTGTGGTTACAGGTGACCGAGTAGCTCCTCCAGTTGGTGCTGTGGTTGGGACTGACCGAGTAGCTCCTCCATTTGGTGCTGCGGTTGGTAGTGATTCAGTAGCAGCTCCTCCAGATGGGACAGTAACTGTATGAGTTGCAGGAGGGATTCCAGATGCCATAATCGCAGCTAGTGATGAAGACAAAGCTGCACTAGCTAGACCTGCCGATCTTAAGGCCTCCGGAGGTGGTAGCTGGCCCAGGCCGCCGGGTTTGGGAGCTGCTACCGCACCATGGAGTAGCATCCATGCTGCTGCTGCGAGTGGCAGGGCCTGCCTCCGAGTGTGCATCTTGTTCAAGAGCAACCACAGTAGGAGATAGGGGGGAGCAAGAAGAAAGAGGCGGCTCAGGGGTATGAGCAGCTATTCGATCAGCAAGTGGTTTGAAGAGATCCCGGAGGATCTAGGATAAGCATCAATTATGTATCCGAGCTTGAGTTATGATGAAGTCTGTATGTCATCCAACGAGCGAGCGGTATCAGGTCTCCGTGAAATGAGCACGCTGGTAAGCTTCCAGTTCTCGGATACGGGACGTCCTATTGGAACTCGTCGGAGCATTGCAACCACGGTCACTCTAGCTGACCATCATCCTGACGCTCGTGCCTATGTTCAACGATATATATCGAATCGAACGGTAAATAAGGTGGATGCGCTTCCAGAATTGAACGTGGTCGTCTCAGGGTATTATGGGGACACAACATCCGTGATCGTCAGGGTAACCCATTTAATGAAAGATGATGAAGTCCGTCTCAACTGATTGATCATCCTTCGAACAACAGGTACATGGGCTTGACTTGACGTTCGGGCCGTTGGTATGTTTCCCTGGTTCAGTCGCATTATTTCCAGGAACTGAACTGCACGCTTCTGTCCGGAATAGCTTTCCGGCGTCACATCTGGATCATCTCATCATCATCTTGCACCAAGCTGCGAGTACGACGGCCAGTCGCGTAATTCAGAGAATAGCTATTCCCACGATTTCTTTTCTGCCGGTACTAGTGGGTACTTTGGCTGGTAGGTTGGCTTCCAGTCGTCCATTCGTACCTCCCATCAATTTCACTCTGCAATTGATGCTGCATCTATTGGTGATTTTGTCGGGTGTAAGCACGCCGGCAGACGTCTTAATAGGGATTCAATTGAGACCGGACTCAGTAGACGACCCATGGTTGACGCCAGCCAACATGAATTAACTTCGCTGCAGTGACGCATGCGAGACCCAGGGCATAACAGCAAGTTGTAAAGACAATCAGACCCCAATACTCTCCATTGCAACGGCTGAGAATCTCGCCTGCAATTGGAATCCCGGTGAGAGTACTAATCCAGAGTTCAGTCAGCCATCGAAGTGCCAGATGATACAATAAACAGGCACGGTTGGAGTATGAACTCACCCGAAGCTTACGATGGTATACGCCGTGGCGTAGTATCTTCCGTAATTCTCGATCTTGCAGAGTTGTCCAACGCAGACTGGCGTAAGACTGATATTGCTGCCACTGGCGAACCCAAATATCACGCAGTAAACAATCATTAAAGGAACGTTGCCGCCAGCAGGAAGCCAGAGACACGCGTTGCACACGAGGCAGAGGGCCACTGTGACAATCAGTGTGTTGAAGCGACCAAGAAAATCTGCGATGAATCCTGGGATCGCTCTTCCCAAGACCGAGCCGACGTTGAGGAACGCTACCATTTGGTATGACAATTTTGTAGAGACCCCATGGGCTAGAGCATATGAAGAGATATAGCTGATCGGAACAAAAAGGCCCCACTCAATGAAGAAGATGCCTGCTGTTGTGAAAGCAAACTTGGCATCTCGAAAAATCCGGAAATCCGGGAGGACGTTCTCCTTGGAAGCCGGCTTCTTAGGCAGACGCGACTTCACCAGCAGGCATGATCCGATTAACAAGATTAAACAAATCAAGGCAATAACACGGGTTGCCCATGCCCAGCCGATCTTGGGAAAGAGAGTCTCCAGGACCAGCGGGAAGACTATGCCCCCAACAGAGCCTCCAGTAGCAGCAAGACCAGTTGCAACGCCGCGTTTCTCGTTGAAGAAATGACCAACTGCGGATATCGCCGGCGTAAAAATGAGAGAGGCTCCCATTCCTCCAGCAACTCCGATCACAAGCATGAAATGCCAGTATTTAGTGCAGAACCCTAGGGCAATCATCATCACCATGACTAAAACAGAGCCAGCAAGAACAAGAAACCGAGGCCCTTTCGCATCGAAGACTGGGCCGATTTGAACTCCACAAAAGAAGGTCAGGAACGAGTAAACGCCAAATATCCAGCCCACGTTGCCAGGGCTGTATTCCTTCAGCTGATGTTCTTGAAGATACGCCTGAAACGTGCCGATCGTGTTGACCAGACCAAGGGACGCAAAGAGTCCCATGAAACTTCCAAATACCACCAACCATGCCTCTAAACCGCCTTCGGGATATGTGTTTCCCTCGGCATCAGTTGTGACCCGACTCACGGGAGTCTGATAATCCGAGGTTTCTGAAGAGATATCATTGATGCAATGTCCATAGCCTCCTTCTGCAAGCACTCTGTTTGTCTCGTGAGTCGAAGGTAGGCCATCTTGCGAATTACGCTGCGTCGATGACTCAAGTCTTCCTGTCTCGACCGCTAAAGGATTTTCAGAAGCTCCATGAGGCGCGGCCGTTGACTGTTTCTCTGAATATGAGATTGGTGATGTTTCCTGAGAGACTGGCTGGCTCTCCTTAGATGTGTGGTGATCTGTCTCGTCAACCTTGGCGATGCCCGAGGTTTTGGTGTTTGTTAACATGTCAATGTAGCTCTCAGGCCGAAGTGGACCACAGTTAACCTTGTCCTCCTTCCACTTTCTCCTCCTCTAAGATTTCGCAGGCGCACTACGTTCCTCCTCGTTTTTCAAGAGATTTGTGGAAGAGAGATATATTTCGGGGCGGGAGAGCATAGAAGGAAATGAGCTGTCTATCCAGTTGGGATTCACCAGCAGACGCAGGGATGCCTGATGGAAATACTCCCGACAAAAATCGAGATTGCGAAAGTTGGGGTCTGATCTGCTTAGCGCTCTAAGAGTTATGCTCTAGCTTGGACTAAATCGTCAAAGTGGAGGTTTCCGAACAGTCGCTCACTGGCGGGAAGTCTCCTATTGGCGAAAATTTTGTGGCTCCAGTTGGCCTCCATCCTTTGGCCATAGCGAAGACCTGCATAAGAGAAGATGCTAGACGCAATCAGGAAGGTCAACTGAGAGCGTACGAGCTTTGGCAGGGCCGCATGAGTGGTTTGCTCACCAGGCGTAGATAGGTGAATCATCATCCATATGGGATTCATGGTTTTGCTGACAGCTCAGCACAGGTGCAGGACTGATCTGTAGGGCAAAGCGATCCAAAGAAGTCATAGATAGAACATTGGACATGGAAATTGCGGGTAAAGGGAGTAGATGAGGCTACTACGTTGCAGTGATTGCTGGAGCTCTGCAATTTCTGTGTTGTATATTATGGACAGGCTGACTCCGTCGGAGACTGCCGAAAGGTGGGACCTCCCTTGTTTAACTCCGTAGGGCTGTCGCATACCTTATCAGCAACATGAGGCCTCACGAACACTATTGATTCCTGATAAAGAGAGGACTTGGGAGGGGTGGGAAAAGAAAAAGAAAATAACCAACCAGATGAACAAAAAATGATAACTTAATGTAGATGGGAAAAAAAGTGGACTCGCGGGGAATCGAACCCCGGACCACCCCCATGCTAAGGGGGTATTATACCACTAAACCACAAGCCCAATAGATGACACTCAAGCAATAACTAAGTCTTACATGGTAAAATCGATAATATGATGACACTGCAATATGCTTCAGTATCTCACCCACTTGAGGACTTCATGGCAACTTGCCAACACAATTTGTACTATCCAACATGTGCAGTAAATCGTCTTGCATAGGCCAGATTCCCAACTGATGAGCCGGAGAAAAGAATACCTAAATTTGCAGTAGTCTCAAAGAATGAGCTGCATGACAGCCACAACAAGTGTGCGAAGAGAGGCTAATTATGTGAAGATTAGCTTTGTCAGCTTGTCCAACATCCAGTAACTACAAGTGAAAGATGGAAATGATACAGATCCGAACATTTAGTTAGGCCATACAAAGTGGCAGATGTATGGTTCAAGTTGTTTGGAGCCGAGTAGGAAGTCCTTTAGATTACAATGCCTTAAATCCAGTTTTCTAGTATCAGTTGGGCTTGTGGTTTAGTGGTATAATACCCCCTTAGCATGGGGGTGGTCCGGGGTTCGATTCCCCGCGAGTCCATTTTTTGCTCTGGTTCAAACGTCTAAAGTCGCTGCTATTCTGCCAGAAAATTGGGTGCTTCCTTATTTTTTATGATTGAAGCACGACCGGAGCAGCGCTGAGAATGGCCCCTCTAGAGCCATCACCTCTCTTCAAGATTCCACAGGCTTGGCCGGGTGCATGTACATCCCGCTCATCCTAGGAGTCAGACAACTTTGGTTTACAAGGTGAATGCTTACGCCAGCCAGGTATATCAGGCACATTTTGGTAAGTTACAAGGTTTCCTATGCTCAGTATGTCTGTTCTGATGGTCCTTCTATAGCCTTTTAAGTGATATATGTAAACACATGTCACATTAGGCTAGCTCAGCTCTATATCCTGGTCATGGCTTTAAAAGTGAGACCTGCCTAATATCAATGGTTCTCATTGTATGATAAGGTACTAGCAGTGCTGGTGATGTGATTATTCGTGCAGGTACTGATCAAAGTCAATGGCCATCTCCTTCAATTGCTTAAATCATCCATTGGCCCTGGCCTTTATCACTCGGTCGTGGTCACCAATCAATCACTGTAGCCTGAAGAGAGTCTCAACGCGACAGCAATACTGAGCTGTCCACTAGACCATCTTACATATCCTTCCAGCCTCCCACCTCGGTGCTACCATAGACGCATTCATCGATCCCGCAGAGTACAACAATTGACTGGGTCAAGTTATCGATTACTGGTGCATTATAATCATATGCGGCTAATTCAACTTCATCCGTCTCCTCTGGCATCCAGTCCCACCCGTCAAACGACAAACCGAGTTCATATAACACGGCCCATGGGTGAAGCATGTCGGACTGACTGCGATGCCTCCTCGTGCACAATCAGATCTATCTATACCATCCTGATTCTGCATACTTTGGTTTTCGGGATAGGTGCCTTGTTCTTACTCGCATGCAGTGATCACCCACTGCTTGGATGCTGCTAGAAGACGGGTATATAATTTAGCATTGTTCAGAGCTGCAGTTTTTGCTGCGAGTTTAAGT